GCGTGTAAGGAGCATACACTAAACAATATGATATAATAGGCATAACAGAAACATGGTGGGATAAGACACATGACTGGGCAGTTAATTTAAATGGGTATACGTTATTTAGGAAGGATAGGAAAAACAAGAAGGGTGGTGGGGTATGTTTATATGTCATCCATGAGTTAAAGCCAAATCTTAGGCATGTGGAGTGTGACGAGGAAAAGGTGGAGGCTTTATGGGTAGATATCTGCTTGGGGAAAACAAAGGGAAATCAATTATTGGTTGGGATATGTTATAAACCACCTAATGTAAATATTAATGAGGAAGAACAGCTGTTAGAGCAAATTGAGAAAGCTGCAAATCGAGGTAACACGTTAATTATTGGAGATTTTAATTATCCAGACATAAATTGGGAAAGAGGGACTAGTACTTCAGCAAGGGGAACCAGGTATTTGAATGTGTTAAATGACACCTTTATGTCACAACTGGTACAAGCCCCAACTAGACAGGATGCTTGTCTGGATCTCGTTATAACAAACAATGTTGATCTTTTAACCAACATTCAAGTAGGGGAGCATTTGGGAAATAGTGATCACAATATGGTAAATTTTGAAATAAACTCGCAAAAGCAGGTGGGGTATACTAAAACATATAATTTTAAAAAAGCCAATTTCAATAAGATTAGGGCAGCTCTACAACATATCGACTGGCATAAACTCCTTAGTAATAAAAACACTGAGGATAAATGGAAACTATTCAAACAAATATTAGAAAGGTACATTTCTCAGTATGTACCATTGGGTAATAAATATAAAAGAAACAAATTAAAACCAGTGTGGCTTAGTAGAGAAGTAAAACAAGAGATTAAAAATAAGAAAAGGGCATTTAAATCAGACAAATCAAAGGCATCCTATTTAAGATATAAGGAAGCCAATAACACTTGCAAAAAGGCAATTAAAGTGGCTAAACTAGAAAATGAGAAATTGATAGCTAAAGAATGCAAAACCAACCCCAAAATTTTTTTCAAGTACATCAATTCTAAAAAAACAAAAAATGAAAGTGTAGGTACACTTGAAACAGAGTTGGGTTTATTAGCTAATGAAGACCAGGAAAAAGCAGAAATTTTAAATAACTATTTTTCTTCAGTATATATTAATGAGGATCCTATGGCAAGAGATATGCAAATGTTTGCTGCAAAAAACTTGCAAATAACTTGTGATTGGATAACTCGAGACAAGGTGCTACAGCTATTAAAGAAAATTAATGTAAATAAAGCTCCGGGGCCTGACGGTATTCACCCACGAGTACTTAAGGAGCTAAGTGGGGAAATAAGTGAACCTCTGTATTTAATTTTTCAAGATTCTTTTGTTTCAGGTGTTGTACCGGAGGATTGGAGGAAGGCAGATGTTGTTCCTATATTTAAAAAGGGTTCAAAATCCTTGCCTGGAAATTATAGACCTGTGAGCTTAACTTCAGTAACTGGGAAAATATTTGAAGGGCTATTAAGGGATAATATTCAGGAATTAATTGGGAAGAACTTTGTTATTAGCAATAATCAGCATGGTTTTATGAAACATAGGTCATGTCAAACTAACCTAATTGCATTCTACGAAGAAGTAAGTAGAAGTATAGATCAGGGTGTTGCAGTGGATGTGATCTACTTGGACTTTGCCAAGGCATTTGATACGGTTCCTCACAATAGGTTAGTCTTCAAACTAAAAGAAATTGGTCTAGATGAATATTCCTGTTCTTGGGTAGAACATTGGCTTAAGGACAGAGTACAACGAGTTGTCATTAATGGTAAATTTTCAGGCTGGACAAAAGTGGTAAGTGGTGTCCCTCAGGGTTCTGTTTTGGGACCACTTCTATTTAACATATTTATAAATGATCTTGAAATAGGCATTGAAAGCCATGTATCAGTGTTTGCAGATGACACAAAACTTTGTAAAGTAATAAAATGTGAGCAGGATATTGCTTTGTTGCAGAGAGATTTGGATAGATTGGGGGACTGGGCACTAAAATGGCAGATGAAATTTAACATAGAGAAATGCAAAGTTATGCACTTCGGGGTTAAGAATGCACAAGCAACTTACACACTAAATGGTAGTGAATTAGGGATAACCACACGAGAAGGATTTGGGCATTGTTATAGACAACAAATTAGGCAGCAATATGCAATGTCAATCTGCAGTTGCTAAGGCCAGTAAGATTTTGTCATGTATAAATAGGGGCATAAATTCTCGGGATGAAAATATAATTTTGCCTCTTTATAAATCGCTGGTAAGACCACACCTTGAATATGCTGTGCAATTTTGGGCGCCTGTTCTAAAGAAGGATATCATGGCACTGGAGAGGGTCCAGAGACGAGCTACAAAATTGATAAAAGGAATGGAGCATTTTAGTTATGAAGAAAGGTTACAAAAATTAAATCTGTTTCGTTTGGAAAAACGGCGCCTGAGAGGGGATATGATAACTTTATACAAATATATTCGGGGCCAGTACAAACCTTTATCTGGAAATCTATTCATAAACAGGGTTATACATAGGACACGAGGTCACACATTTAGGCTGGAAGAAAGGAGATTTCATCTAAGGCAAAGAAAAGGTTTTTTTACAGTAAGAACAATAAGGATATGGAATTCTCTGCCTGAAGAGGTGGTTTTGTCAGAGTCCATACAGATGTTTAAACTGAAATTGGATAAATACTTACAAAAACATAACATACAGGGATATAATTTCTAATTAGTGGGGTAATAGCTGATTGATCCAAGGAGACATCTGACTGCTATTTTGGGGTCAAGAAGGAATTTTTTCCTAGTTTGTGGCAAAATTGGAAGTGCTTCAGACCAGGTTTTTTGCCTTCTTTTGGATCAACAGCAACAACATTTCTGAGGAAGGCTGAACTTGATGGACGCAAGTCTCTTTTCAGCTATGTAACTATGTAACTATGTAACTATGTAAACCAAGTACATTTAAACCTTAATCGGTAGTTTCCTCCCGAACAGCCAGAGCCCAGTGAATATAGCCCTCCGTTCGGTAGTTATAGTAGACGAATTCCCAATTGTAAATCCAATAGTGTTCCTGGATAATTCCCACAGTAAAACACACGAACTCCCAAACAGCATACGTAGTCAGAATAAGGGTACAAAGATGAACTGTTTATTGGCACACAAAGAACCTTCTTTTATGCAGGTCCCCATGCAAGGGGACATCCCACAGGGTGGGACACAGTACAACCAATCACACAATGGTTACATCCCACACATCCCCTCCCCTTAGCCTGAGAGGTAACCCAATTATCCATACATTTTAAAACACACTTTTTACCCAACTTTCATAACTCCAAAACCATACATCCAATATTAATAAAATTCACCTATTATTAATCAGCACATCCCAAATACAAACATACCCAAAAATCATGCAAATCCTTCCATTAGTTCAAAAGTTAGTTAGAAGTCCTTTGTGACCCAAAGGAAGCATGGCTTTTCTGCCCAAACCAGTTCCCACTGGTCTGGCAGTGTCCCTGGGACAACTCCCTGCTTGAGAACAATAGACAGGAAACGGGGGAGGGGAAGAAACACACCTTCCCATGGATTCCAGTGGGGAAGAAACTGTCTTTAGAAGCCAATAAGCCCCAAAGTTTGGATTTATAAAGGGGTGACAGGGTGGTCTGCATTCGGTAGTTTTACCTACCGAATGCCATAGGGAAACATTGCTATTGACACAAATACAAAGAGGGCATATACAGTAAAAAAAAAAGGCATTTCTTCACACTGCTCCCCTATAAGTCCATAGGTCGGCATACCCGCCAAGACCCTGACGGGTTGGCTTGGGGATGTCCGAGGGGCAACAACGAAACAGTCCAGGTTAAGTATCCAATTCCGTTTGGCGGGACAAACCGTCTGCATTACCATTTTGTTTGCCCGGACGATATTGCATGGTGAAGTTGTACGGTTGAAGGGCTAGGCTCCACCGTAAAAGTCTAGGGTTGTCGCCAGCCACCCGGTTTAACCACACCAACGGGTTGTGGTCGGTCATCAGAGTAAACGGCCGGCCATACAAATAAGGTTGGAGTTTCTTAAGGGCCCACACCAGGGCTAGGCACTCCTTCTCCACGGTGGCATAGCTGACTTCCCGGGGCAACAGTTTATGACTTAGATAGGCCACCGGGTGTTCCATGCCGTCGTCTCCCACCTGGCTTAACACGGCTCCCAGCCCAAACATGGAGGCATCTGTGTGGACAAGAAATTGTTTACAGTAGTCTGGTGCTGCCAACACAGGAGCCTCACTCAATGCGGTTTTCAGTTTCTGGAAGGCTGCCGCGCACTCTGGGGTCCAGGTAACCTGTTTGGAAAGGGCCTTTTTGGTGAGATCAGTGAGGGGTTTGGCCAGGGCGCTATAGTCGGGGACAAATTTCCGGTAATAACCGGCTGTTCCTAAGAAGGCTAAGACCTGGGTCTTAGTCCGAGGTTGGGGCCAATTCGCTATGGCCTCTATTTTGGCAGGCTCAGGCCGCTGTTTACCTGACCCTACCCTGTGGCCGAGGTACTGTACCTCCGCCATACCCACGTGACATTTGTCTGGTTTCAACGTAAGCCCTGCTTGGTGAATTCTCTCGAGCACCCTGGACACGTGGCCTAGGTGGTCTCACCATGTGCGGCTGTAGACAGCAATATCGTCTAAATACGCACATGCGAAGTCCTGGAGTCCCTCCAGGAGCCTGTCAGCCATCCGCTGAAACGTAGCCGGGGCATTCTTCATCCCAAAGGGCATAACCTTGAATTGGTAAAGCCCAAAAGGAGTGACGAATGCCGACTTGGGGATGGCGGCAGACTCCAGGGGGATCTGCCAGTACCCTTTGCACAAATCCAGAGTGGTCAAGTAATTACCTCCGGCCATATGGTCCAGTAACTCATCTATTCTGGGCATGGGGTAGGCGTCTGTTATGGTGCGGTCGTTGAGCCTCCGGTAGTCTACACAGAAGCGTGTGGTGCCATCACGCTTCGGTACTAGTACTACCGGAGAGGCCCAAGGGCTTTGAGAGGGTTCTATTACCCCTAACTTGAGCATGTCGGCAAGTTCTGCCAGCATGCTCTCACGCACGGCCTCGGGAATGCGGTATGGCGGCTGCCGTAGTGGCGTCTCTCCCTGGGTATCTACCCGGTGTACCGCAGCGGAGGTATAGCCTGGGATGGCAGAAAACATGCCCTGGTATTCCCGGAGTAAGCCGGCCGCTTCCTGTCGCTCTATAGGTTGTAGGTTCTGACCAAGACTGACCTGGTCAATACTGCAGGGAGAGGAGTCTAGGACTCTGTCCCGGGCACCCCTGTCGTAGCACCTCTTTTGGCAGACCTGGGCCGCCTGCAGGTTCTCCCGAACTGATTCGGTGAGAGTTCGCAGCCGGTCGCGGAACTCCAATACGTATTGGACTATAGGGATCCCCCCATCATCCGTGTTGCCTTCCCAGTGCTCCCATACAAGATCCAGGGGGCCCCGAACTTTTCTCCCGAACAGGAGTTCGAAGGGGGAAAACCCCGTGGATGCCTGGGGCACCTCACGATAGGCAAACAGAAGATGGGGAAGATACCTCTCCCAGTTCCTGCAGGACTCTGCGAACGTTTTTAGCATTTGCTTGAGCGTGCCGTTAAAACGTTCACAGAGACCGTTGGTCTGGGGGTGATATGGGGCGCTAAAGAGGGCTTTCACTCCACAGCTCTGCCACAGCTGTTGTGTCAGGAGAGCTGTGAACTGAGTCCCTCTGTCGGATAGGATCTCCTGGGGGAAACCTACCCGGGAGAATACTTTGACCAGGGCCTCAGCTACCGTTTCGGCCTCTATATTGGGAAGGGCTACGGCTTCGGGGTACCGAGTGGCATAGTCCACTACGATGAGTATGAACCTTTTACCAGACTGACTGGGCCGACTGAGGGGTCCTATTAAATCTACCGCTACCCGGTGGAACGGCTCTTCTATGATGGATAACGGGTGGAGCTTTGCTTTTTGGTGGTCACCCCGTTTCCCTATTTTCTGGCAAACGTCACAGGTCCTGCAATAGTATTTGAGGTCTTGAGTGATCCTGGGCCAGAAGAAAGTTTGGGTCAGGCAGTCCCTAGTCTTCTTAATCCCTAAATGTCCGGCTAGGGGAATATCATGGCTGAGTCTTAGTAACTCAGCCCGAAACTTGCGGGGCACTACTAGTTGTCTTTTAGTAGCCTGGGTGGTTCCGTGTCCCGCCCCATCTGTCACCCTATACAACAGTCCCTTATGCCATTCAAACTTTTCGTGGGGGTTGTCGCCCCTATTGTCCCCTACTGCTTTTCTATACCCGGCTAGAGTGGGGTCAGTCCTTTGTTCCTGCTCAAACCCCTGGGGAGTATCCCAGAACGAGGGAGGGGGGTCGGGTAAAGTGGGGATGTCAACTCCTACCTGGGTTTCCTCAGAGTGCAGCGGTGCTTTCCAGTCTGGCTTGAGCTCGGGTGGTAACCGGATACGCCTCAGCTGTGGTGTCTCGGGCTAACTGGGAAGTTAAACAGCCCACATCATTCCCCAACAGTGCTTCGGCTGGTAGCTCCTGCATAATGCCAACCTCTAGTTGTTTAGATCCCGAGCCCCAATCCACAAGAACTTTAGCCGTGGGTAATTTGTGGATGGCACCCTTACTGCCACAGTGCGGCCCGTGTGAGTTTGAGCCTTGACAGTGTGCGGTTGAACCACAGTTAACGTGGCCCCAGAGTCTCTTAAGGTGCGGGCCCCCACCCCGCCTACCGTAATCCATTGACGGTGGTGGTCCCGGTTGTCACCCCGGGCTTGCACAGGGTTGACTTCGTGCAACACACTCCATTGTTCCTCGTGGGGAGGTACCCATGATGTACTCTCCTGCTGTACACAATGAGCAGCGGCCCTGGGTTGTGACTGTGGAGGTTGCCTTTCCCAGCTTCCGCGGTTTAAACGTGGGCACTGATTTTTAAAGTGTCCTGGTTGTTTGCAGTAGTGACACACTGCAGGTTGTCGGGGTGCTGCTGCTGGGTTGTGGGGCGAATTACTCAGGGGGGCTCTAGGTGGTGCAGCCATGGTTGGGGCTGAATAAGGTTGTTTAAACGCAGGTCGGCTCACCCCTTGTTCTCGCCTCCGGTTATCCTGGTATTCATCTGCCAGTCTTGCTGCCTCCTCCACAGTTTTAGGCTTCCTGTCTTTAACCCAGTCCTTGATATCCTCTGCGGTATGGTTAAAAAATTGTTCTAATAGGAGGAGTTGTAACGCATCCTCCAGAGTGGTTGCTTGGCAGCCCTTCATCCAATTTCGGGCTGCCCTGTGTAGCCGGAATGCCCATTCAGTATGGGTATCCCTCCCTGTTTTCCTCAGTTCCCTGAATTTCTTCCTGTATGCCTCAGGGGTAACTGCATATCTAGCCAACAAAATGTCTTTTATCTTTCCATAATTATGAATATCTTCATCAGGTACTGCTCGTGCTGCTTCTGATGCTCTGCCTGACAACTTGCTGTTCAGTACTGCAGCCCATTTGGTGGAGTCTAATCCCTCCAGTGCACATTGCCTTTCAAAGTCTTGCAGATAACTATCAATCTCCATTTCATTGTCATTAAAGTTTTTAAATGCAGCATAATTTACCTTTTTCGGCATGTCATTTGTACTTCCCGGGGAGTGTAGCAAATCCCCCCGTAGTAGTCTGTCATCTCGCTCCTTCTGTGATTACCTGGCTTGTGCCATGACCTGCAGCATCGCCTCTGTTGCTGGATTAGGTCCCAATAAACTGAGCATCCATCTGATGTCCTTCTGCATCACCGTTTCTTCCTCAGGTTCCATTTCTGTAGTGCTGGTTCTGTCGCCCTGTAACAGCTCTGCAATTAACGTGGCTTTTGTTTTGTTGCTTGCTATTACGCCTCGAGCTTCCAGCAAATCCTTAAGCGTGGTTCTTTTAAGCTGTTGGTACTGCTGCGCCATTCATTCCTTTGCTTGCTTTAAAACATCCGTTCGGGATTCGAATCCCGCCGCTTGCCACCAGTTGTAAGGAAACCAAGTACATTTAAACCTTAATCGGTAGTTTCCTCCCGAACAGCCAGAGCCCAGTGAATATAGCCCTCCGTTCGGTAGTTATGGTAGACGAATTCCCAATTGTAAATCCAATAGCGTTCCTGGATAATTCCCACAGTAAAACACACGAACTCCCAAACAGCATACGTAGTCAGAATAAGGGTACAAAGATGAACTGTTTATTGGCACACAAAGAACCTTCTTTTATGCAGGTCCCCATGCAAGGGGACATCCCACTGGGTGGGACACAGTACAACCAATCACACAATGGTTACATCCCACACATCCCCTCCCCTTAGCTTGAGAGGTAACCCAATTATCCATAGATTTTAAAACACACTTTTTACCCAACTTTCATAACTCCAAAACCATACATCCAATATTAATAAAAGTAACATATTATTAATCAGCACATCCCAAATACAAACATACCCCAAAATCATGCAAATCCTTCCATTAGTTCAAAAGTTTAGTTGTGACCAAAGGAAGCATGGCTTTTCTGCCCAAACCAGTTCCCACTGGTCTGGCAGTGTCCCTGGGACAACTCCCTGCTTGAGAACAATAGACAGGAAACGGGGGAGGGGAAGAAACACACCTTCCCATCGATTCCAATGGGGAAGAAACTGTCTTTAGAAGCCAATAAGCCCCAAAGTTTGGATTTATAAAGGGGTGACAGGGTGGTCTGCATTCGGTAGTTTTACCTACCGAATGCCATAGGGAAACATTGCTATTGACACAAATACAAAGAGGGCATATACAGTAAAAAAATGGCTGCCATGGTGCTGCTTATTCAAATACCGCGGCTGCCATGGTGCTGCTTATTCAAATACCGCGGCTGCCATGGTGCTGCTTATTCAAATACCGTGGCTGCTATTTTGCTGCTTATTCAAATACCGCGGCTGCCATGGTGCTGCTTATTCAAATACCGCGGCTGCCATGGTGCTGCTTATTCAAATACCGCGGCTGCCATGGTGCTGCTTATTCAAATACCGCGGCTGCCATGGTGCTGCTTATTCAAATACCGCGGCTGCTATGGTGCTGCTTATTCAAATACCGCGGCTGCTATGGTGCTGCTTATTCAAATACCGCGGCTGCCATGGTGCTGCTTATTCAAATACCGCGGCTGCTATGGAGCTGCTTATTCAAATACCCAGGCTGCCATGGTGCTGCTTATTCAAATACCGCGGCTGCTTATTCAAATACCCCGGCTGCTATGGTGCTGCTTATTCAAATACCGCGGCTGCCATTGTGCTGCTTATTCAAATACCGCGGCTGCCATGGAGCTGCTTATTCAAATACCGCGGCTGCTATGGAGCTGCTTATTCAAATACCCCGGCTGCTATGGAACTGCTTATTGAAATACCGCCGCTGCCATGGTGCTGCTTATTCAAATACCGCCGCTGCCATGGTGCTGCTTATTCAAATACCGCGGCTGCTATGGTGCTACTTATTCAAATACAGCGGCTGAGATCATTGCCAGGGGTATTTAGGTACGGAACGAGATTGGATTAAAATATCCTTATTGTTTGGCAATGACCCTAAATGTTGTACTGTTGCAGTGTAAGCATGCAGAAGCCAAACACAGAAATATTGGACACAGGTCTTCAGGAAGTAACAGGCCTTTATTCACATTACCGATCGGGTCTCAGATGAACTCCTGTTCCAACATTCTGAGAGACCAACACATAGTGTACATTCCTTATATAGCACTATAACTCCTCCCATTAATAGCTACACCCACATATACCTTTAACCAATCAATGAGCAGAATATAGACTTGTACATCTAGTCAAACCACATGGCTCATCCAAGACAAAGGAAATAAGTGCAATTTCAGTTCCTGCATTCCTGCACATGCTCAGTACACTGATGACAGTATCCTAGCTACATGTAGCTAACCAACTGACACAACATACACATATGCCACATGGAGATTTTGGCCTACTAAATTTTGACCATGCTGGAATCCCATCACATTCCCCCCTTTGATGCCTCTGATATAACATTATTCCAGATGCATCACCAATCACAGTTTTACCTACATCTCTCAAGTAGCCATTGAACCAGAGTAGACCTTGTAAGCATCTTAAAAACTCCGTCAACATTCTTCATCCTGAATATATTCTCTTCGGGCTAGGGGATCATATCTTCCAGACAGCCATTACATGAGCCGCTGTCTTTCTCTCTATAGTACTCTCTATAATGCTACGTAGGGACCTTACCACTAGTGGAATTAGACAGGGCAGGAGGAGGCACAAAAAAAATATAATAAATTCTACTCCTCCTACTAATGTCTTAATTCCTCCAAGCTGCTCATACCAACTTCCAAACCAACTACTTAGGTTATACCCATTCCAGACCTGAGTAGGTACATGCTCAAATTTAACCATGTGGCTTGTAAGTTCAGCCACTGCCTGCCCTTCATCATCTATGTGCAGACAACAGTTACTTAGATTAAACTTTCCGCATACACCTCCTTCTACTGCTAGTAAGTAATCAAGGGCTAGCCTATTCTGGTATATGGCTGATCACATCTTGGTATTTTGCTTAGCTAGAAGATTAAGCACTTGAGCTGTCTCATTAGTAATAATCTCAACTACCGCCTGTAGTCTAATAATGCGGTTGAGCATATATAATCGGAGTTCTATATCCATAAGTGCCATCTTCTGCCCAAGTAGCAGGTCCATAATAATTAATAATACGTTGAGGGGGCCACTCATTATCTTCCCAGCTACCTATATTCAAGGATGCTCTCTCCCTTTTATGATTTACATCGTAAACCTTAACTCCCAAGGTCTCTCCTGTTTCGATTGGCAACAAGAAGAAGGATGGCTTTGGCATACCTAATACACATGCCCCTTCCCAATCTTGTGGTAACTCCGAATAAGTTTTCTTACCACAGATCCAGTATAAATTTGCTGGGGCTTTCCAACTAGATGTAGCAGATAAGTCAAACCATACCTCCTTTAAATGAGTGTAATTGGCAAACGGATTAGTAGGTTCCGAGACATTTAAAGCTGACCACCAAGTAGTATTTTTAGTATTAACATTATAGGCTTTTTGTCCCAAGCAAGTTAGCTCACCTACAGACGTGTTATACATTGTCCCTTTCCTGGCTATACAAACATAACCTATAATGGAGGTTTTTAACCACCATTCCAATTTACTTCTAGTACTTACTTGATGATCAGACTGGAAAGGTATCTGTTGTTCATATGTCTCAGAGCCAGGGTACCATATTTCCTTTGCCTCCCATGGCCACTGGTCTCCCATATTAGTACCTCCACACACATAGCAATTAGTTACATTAAGACTACCTGCAATACCCTCAGCCAAATCAATAAATAGGTTGTTAACATTATGGGGAATTTTATCCTCAATACTCATCTCCTCATAGAAGGAATGAGAAACCTGATGAGTTTGAGTTGCCACTGTCTCAGTTTCAAGACCTACATATATTATTGTTCCTGAATCTACTCCTGTGCCATATATTTGAAACCCAAACAGACCTCCAAACCTGTCAATAAAGTACTGCAGATTGGAAATGGTCATGTGAACGGGGTTACACACATAGTTTTACAGTATAGTGTGGTAGGCAACCTTTGGATAATCATATCTTGATCCACTGTTTTTCCCAGGTTGCCCAACCTACACATGACCAATAGGGGCAGAAGTTAGTCTCTATTTGGGCAATCAGGATCAGTAGATCTTATACTGGGACATAAGTATTTATCATTAAACCCATAAGTTCGTTCCCATTTAAGATTACCACATACATTCCAAAGTCTTCCACTACCCGAAATCGCCTTACATGCATCAAATAGTAGAATACCCGTGGAATGTATGGTGCTTATCACAGTCCTATTTATTAATGTCCCCTGGGAGTTACTATTCCGAATTACCAACCAAATTGTACGGGGTTGGAAATGGGGATCAAAACATTTAGACTCTCCTGATATTGGCTTGCACACACTATAATCAATATCCAAATATCTACATTTAGATACAGATCCCTTACATTCATACTGTGAGTGCCAGATGAGAGTTTGGGATATTTGGTTACCTGTTTTAGTAGTCTTAATGCAACTATCGCAATTCGGTATGTCTGTACTCCTACCTTCCTGAAAAATCATAAAAATACTAAGACACAATAAAACACATTATTCCTGAAATCCTCATTTTTCTTCGACCGTGCGATGGCCTCTCAGCTTCCCGATTGTGAGGGCTGCAAGGATGTTGTTCTTCTGATCCTCACTTTCCTTCACAGAGATCCCTTCAAGATACTCTGGCTATGACACGTAGGCAGGTGGTCAGGCTTTATTATGGCCGTCAAAACACCTACTTGATGATCTTTGTAGACTTTTAACTAGAATGTCTCGATATCCCCTCGTCACTCCGACTGAGTTGCACGCTTCAACCGGGTCCTGCAAGGATTCTCAGGATCTGGAGTAGCTTGCCAAGAGTCTGCTGCTGGTTTAACCTTAGAATGATGAATCCAAGGAGTCACTTCCGCCACCTTTACAGCTGTTGGGGTAGATAAAAGAACAACATACAAAGGCTAACAGGATACACCCCGAGCTTTAACTCAATATGTATTGGTGGGATATTACGAGCAAGTCCTGGAGGATTATTTTCTTCCCATACTCCTGGAATGTCAAGTAAGGATTCATCACTCTTAGGGTTAACACTTGTCACTATGGAATAGAAGCGTCATTCTTCTTCCCTTGGCACCGATATCGCCATTATGCCTGGTAATCCCTTAAACTTCAGAGATGTTAATCCATTAGGTAAAAGGTTATCTGAGCTTAAAGCTTCGATAATAGATCTCGTCCTAAAAGTTGAATCGGACACTCTGGCATATATAGGAACTAATGCTTCACCACATGGCCTCCCAGAATACAAGTGCGACTCTTAAAGAACCGGTCTAGCTGCACTTCTCCCAGTAGCTCCTATCACAGTTATAGTCTTCCCCGAAGGCGGAGCCACCATCTTAGTCACCACAGAATGTTCAGCACCTGTGTCGATCATGAAAGAACTTCTCTTTCCCCCTATTGCTACATCGACCATAGGCTCCGCTCGACCAAGTGGGATGGAGCCCAGTCGGTATCAATAGTCTTCCATGATAGTGTCAGCCAGACCCACAAAATCTCTATCCTCTCTTTCTCTAGGTCTCTGCGTGGGTGGATAGTATCTGTCTCCTTGAACACTTCCTCTACTATTCCCATCATTCCCTCTAAAACTTCCTCTTACTCTATAACTACCACTATAACCTCCTCGTACCCTTCTCTCTCCTGTCTATCACCTTCATACTACTCTCTCTGTGGACACTCACTCTTCCAATGTCCCTCCTTTCTACAATACGCACATTAATTCCTACTTAAAGTCCCTTGCTCAGCCTATTCTCGTCTCCTCTATTCACTTCCCTGTCTTTCTACACTTAAGATAGCTACCGCTATCTTAAGTGTAGAGAGGCCTTTTTCCTCATTTTACGTTCTTGCTCCCACTTTACCTCTGTCTCCCTAGTCATATGTTTTAAGGCCATTTGGCCTGTATTTGTGGGAGGGGCTTAAATTAATTCACTCCCCTATATAAGGGACACCCCTTACCTGACTCATATCGCTTGAGGTCAGCATCAGAATGATTTCCACTTCCGGGTCATCCAGACGCCATTTTACCTGATTACTCCATGAGGTTTTCTAAGCTGAGCTGTGTCAGGAATTCAGCCACAGGCTTTTCCGGCCTACCACCTTCTTTCTTCAATCTATCGCTGTGGATGGTGTCCAAGTGACTCACAAACCGTAAGTCGACCTACCCGTTACGCCAGGCATCAGTCCCACGGCACCATGCACGGGTCAGGTCCTCACTTTACGGCTGCATTTGGTCTAAATCTGTCCTAAAACCATTGCATGTTCATGCATATCATTCGTTTAAATTCACTTGTTTATATCTGTCACTGGCTCATTTCGAGCATTAGCATACTCCCAAAAGGGAACACATTCTGTTTCAATTGCCTAAACATACTAGGCAATTCTGTGCGTGCATTTCGAATCTCACTGCTCGTTTCGTTTTGTTTCCCTGGCATACCAGGCTCACGATTCGTGCAATTTTCTACCAAACGGGTACTAGTTCATGCATTTACTATTGTACTATACACACGTTTCGTGTGTTTACAACCCGTGAACAGAACTTTGGTTTGTTACAATGATTGTTATTAAGCTATTATGTTCACTTATTGTATATTGTCAAACGGGCACTGTTTGTTTCACAACTATAATGCTGGGGCATAGCTCACAAACAATGTTTCACATAAACCACACTGACCCCTACAGGTCACTCTCAAAATCTCACGTTAACCTTGCATTTGGATTAACCCCTTAAGGACCAAACTCTGGAATAAATGATATGTCACACATGTCATGTATCCTTCAGGGGTTAAAGGGTATTTTACCATACAATCAGCATTTCTGACCCCTACTGGTCAACAGCAAAACTGTCTTCACATGTCATATACAATTACCAGCCAATATAAATTACACATAAGATTGTTTTAAACATAACCATAAACCATAAATTAAACTCCAACACGGGCTCAACTTCAGGTTTAATTCACAATAATTTACATTTCACATTAAGACCAACAGTGGTTCTATCAACACTGCCACCTACAGGTCTGTCAAGTACATTGACAATTTTCATGGGGTTTTACAAACACCAAAACACTGACCCCTATAGGTCAACAGACAAACAACATTTCACATACCAATCAGTATCAACTACACTGCCACCTATAGGGCACTCGGCAGATCTCCAGTGCACTTGCATTTTGCAACTCCATGTTCACTTGCCATTCAATAAGGCATACAACAATTCACATAGCAAGCAGTATATCAATATCTGTTATAAATACACATATTATTACACAGTAGCACACGCATCTGTATATACGTAACTGGTAATATGGTTCACATACATACGACACTTAATGGGTTAAGATTGATACATATTTAACCAGTATGGATATGATGTTTAATATTTACATATCACGGCACTTTACTTTCACATATACTGTATGTTTTAAGATAAGCTTGGTCTATGCCATATTTCCTTATGCCATACGATTTTATCCATTCAGGTTACAGTTACTACTAAAAAACCTATAAGGATTGTCAGGTTCAATACCATACTACCAGGTACATACACCTGCTCACGTAGTTATCCATCTCTTACCTTCCCTGGAATAGTAATAGTGTACTGGCAATTAGGGTTCTAGGGCCCAATAGGTATTACCCCCTTTTTTCTCTGCATTATGCTTCAGTTAGTGGTCCCGCGAGGCCAACACCCCGCCTCACACTCGGAGGCATACACCCCTCGGGCCACTCGTGAGCTAGCCGCCTCGCATTGTATCATAGAGAGGGCCTCACCTGTCACTCCCCTTCCTATTTTTCTGGTTACTGTCACCGAGAGGCCAACATCCTGCCACAACGTTCGGTGGCCACACAAAATCCCCTCGCGCCAAGCATAGATAGAGCCTCTCAAGCCACTTGGCAACTAGCAGGGCCTCACCAGTCACCAAAAAACACCAAGCCTAATCGTTTCGCCTTACGGCTTAGCTAGCAAGCCGGTACAAGACCCCTGGGTACAAATATATAATTGCAATCTTTATTGTTATTTAAGTATTTCTCAAAAGATGGTAAGAATCACCTCTTCCTAGCACCCCGGCTAGAAGTGATACACCTTCATCTCTTACCTTCCCTGGAATAGTAGTAATGTACTGGCAATTAGGGTTCTATGGCCCAATAGGTATTACCCCCTGTTTCTCTGCTTTACGCTTCGGTTAATGGTCCCGCAAGGCCAACACCCTTCCTCACACTCGGAGGCATACACCCCTCGGGCCACTCGTGAGCTAACCGCCTCGCATTGTATCATAGAGAGGGCCTCACCTGTCACTCCTCCTCCTATTTTCTGGTTACTGTCACCGAGAGGCCAACATCCTGCCACAACGTTCGGTGGCCACAAAAAAAAATTTCCCTCACCAGTCACCAAAAAACACCAAGCCTAATCGTTTCGCCTTACGGCTTAGCTAGCAAGCCAGTACAAGACCCCTGGGTACAAATAATAATTGCAATCTTTATTGTTATTTAAGTATTTCTCAAAAAGATGGTGAAGAATCACCTCTTCCTGGCACCCCGACTAGAAGTGATACACCTTCAAGCAGAGGAGATGTGGCTCCGACCTAACCCTGCCACAGCAAGGAAAGCAGTTATTCAAACTCCTCCATACATCAACGGACAACACGGAGGCAGGGGAAGGCCCAGCAACACCAACTCAGGTGACACCCAGGCCATGCTAGCCTCACTCATAAACTCATGAGCCAAAAAATTTACGACAGACTGGCAATTTCGAGTCAGTCACAGCCCTCACAAGGCTGGGCCTCACGCTACTGTACAACCAGCACCAACCGAAACTCGGTTACTTGGTACAAGACGTTAACCCTGCACATATGATCCCGGCACATTGGGGAAACAAGGCATATATATGTATGATGATGTATCTATGATGGTCAGACCCAGGGATTCTAGGTAAATCGGGAACTGACCATCCCTTGGTTGTGTTGGTATTTGGAATATGTAGAGATGCTTATTTGTGCAGGTACCCATACAGAAGGGATTTTCTCCCAAACAAACCGGTGAGCACTCTCAGGCTCCAGGTACCAGCACCTCTGAACTACCATAGACAATTGGTATTAGTAGTTGCATTGCATATAGACTGTTGCATATATGTTCAAATCATTCAGGGCACATGACAAACCATGTGTCCCAATACAACTTACAAATAACGTACTCTCCATCTGTACACACCAATGCATTTTCAATACTACTGACTTATCACCCCTTCCAGACTTGTAGTAGAGTTACTAAGGCTCTGGAGCTTCAAAGGGCTCCCATACAGGTATCATAAATAAACTCTCAAGGAATATAGCATGCCCTCACTTACAGTCAGCACAACAGAACTGTCGGCTGTAAACACACTCATAGCCAAGATTTGCAGAGGGGTTTTTACTTGGGTTTTCCAATCTCCACCATTTACAGCATGGCACCAAACACAAATGCATTGGTATTGTCACAAGGGAATCTTCCCTTAAACAAAGACTAACCATAGACTTATTGGCACCACACACCTTCGCTACCCCAAGTCTCAACTCCCTCATACCCTCCGAGGAGTTTCCTTACTATACACACCATTGATCTACCTTTACAGCTATCACTCAAGCAGGGGTTGAAGCTTCGTTAAGTAAGACCAATATCATCAACACAGTAAACGGCTACCATCTACCCTACAAACTGGCACTTACATGGCATAAAATGGGCAATCCTTTCCCGCTAAAAGCAGCTGCTGTGGCATGGGGTAAATCATGGTCAGGGTCATCAATCCGTTGTTACTCAGACAACTGAGCACATGTCATATCATCAACAAATGCCACTCATCATCCATACGATCATGGTATTGCTGGGGAACTCACTTGGTTGGCCACTTACCACATTTCTTTTACTTTCATGTACCAGGCGTTGGTATACATCCTTGCCGACAATTGTCTCATTTATATTCCAGGCACGTTTATCATACGCTTCCTACAGCCTTATATACAGTCACGGCCACTCTTTCGTTCCAGAGACAAAATCATGGATTAGACATACTCATGCAGCATAGCATGCACTATCCCACCTAGCACTTTCATCCCATACTTGTAGAACGCACACTATTCACCTGGCTTTAAAGAATCTCATTGGAACACGACATAGCTCAACCTGTGTCATAACATTTCTCCTAGGTTTTGCTTCATTTTTGCCACCTTAAACTAAAACCATCTCACACACCATTAATTATATATTTTACAGGCATTCAACAACACAGGATAACCTATGGCCAAAACTACCATAACTTCATGCTATCATACCAGACAAGAATATACTCAGAGGTTTTCAGGAATCCATCCCCCCACGTTCCTCACAGATATTACCAATAGCCATCCAACTTTTCCATCCTTATTGGACCTATTAGAGCTACAACCTTTCAATTATACTACCAAGTTGGCCATTACCAGCCATGCACACTGCCTTTTATGCCTTTCTCAGGCCAGAGAATCCACTACCATAACCACCACTCAGACAGATCATTGTCTTCAATGATCCCACGTATGTAAACACATATATCATTACCTATTGGCTCTACCACATTCCGAAACGAGTCAACACGCACCAACAGTAGAGATAACATACTATCCTACCCACAACAAATGGTGTCCAGTTGCGGTCCTAGATTCCTACCTTCAAAATCCTTCAAGGAATTAAATACCGTAATGCATTTAAGGAAATGTCTGGTTAATTTGTATATATTGTTGACTGTATTAAATCTTTGATTATTCTTTTTGCCCTCTTTATTTACAGGCCTACCGTATCGTCGGTCTCGGCACACCACAACCGACTTGCTCCCTTTATACTATCCTACGCTTATGCTGGAACCTTACTCCATATACGGCTATTTGCCCCGAACACAAGTTTTAAGGCCATTTGGCCTGTATTTGTGGGAGGGGCTTAAATTAATTCACTCCCCTATATAAGGGACACCCCTTACCTGACTCATATCGCTTGAGGTCAGCATCAGAATGACCCTCCCACCCACTCCTCATTTCAACACTTTCTCTTTTCTTTCCATTTACTTTACTTACTTACTCCTTGGTGGGCCCTCTTTATTTACAGGCCTACCGTATCGTCGGTCTCGGCACACCACAACCGACTTGCTCCCTTTATACTATCCTACGCTTATGCTGGAACCTTACTCCATATACGGCTATTTGCCCCGAACACAAGTTTTAAGGCCATTTGGCCTGTATTTGTGGGAGGGGCTTAAATTAATTCACTCCCCTATATAAGGGACACCCCTTACCTGACTCATATCGCTTGAGGTCAGCATCAGAATGACCCTCCCACCCACTCCTCATTTCAACACTTTCTCTTTTCTTTCCATTTACTTTACTTACTTACTCCTTGGTGGGCCCTCTTTATTTACAGGCCTACCGTATCGTCGGTCTTGGCACACCACAACCGACTTGCTCCCTTTATACTATCCTACGCTTATGCTGGAACCTTACTCCATATACGGCTATTTGCCCCGAACACAAATACTGTATTTGCAATCTCCATTAGCTGTATTATGGACATCCCTACAAATCCCTCTAATTTTCTGTAATTTCCTTTTACCTTGGGCCTGGCTGACAAATGCTGAGTCTATCATTCGGAAGTTTTCAGGGGCCTCTGGATTAAAGGGAGTATACAACCTATTTGACTCAAGCAGTGTCTAATATGGGACTTCGGCAAGGCTGCCCAATAATAGGTTCCAGTCTATGAGTAGTAAGATAGGTGTAAGGGGGTGAGCTAATTTTATTAGTCGGCATTTGGTGGATGAAAAAACGTTTTTGTTTAAAGTGTTAAACCAAAAACCTACCAGTAGGTGTCACCAGAGGGTAATTGTATCAAAATAATCTTTATGGGTCTAATAAGAAAACTCAACTTTTAATATATTTATACATAAAATAAAACCTTATAGCAATAAATATATTAAAATAGGGTAAGCAATCCTACATCTATCTGTTATAAACAATGTATTATCAATGTAACTCCCGAAGATGGCCAGTAGGTGGCTTAGAGTGCCTCCCTAGAGTCAAATGAAACAAATAGACTTTAATTAATTATGTCCTATTTTATTATTACTTATTTTAATCAATGTCCACCCTGATATCTAGGCTTGATTAAATCTTTAGTTCTAAGGTAAATTAAACATTTCAGTTTGTAGTTTAGTAAAAAGGGGACATTTTGGACAAAGCTGGGAGGGGCCCATCCAGTAACTAAAATAAAGACCATATACCATCTGATACCATTGATCATTGATTAGGGGGAGGGGTAGTACAGAAATACAAGAGTTTGAAACACAGGAACAGATAGGTATGTGGGTAGGCGGGGACAGTAGAGCAGGGGGAGTGCAAATACTGACTATATACCAGTTTTGGGAGTAAGAAATGGGCGTGGCTACTCTGGCTCTGGAGGATGTTTGGGGGGTTAGTAATCAGATGCCACAATGTCAGTGGTTATGGTACATGTCAGTAGTTATGGTACCGTGCGCTATTTTACAGTTATACACACAATTTACACTCCCACTAGACAGCAGAGCTCTAACTTTCTAGTAGGACATACAAGTTAACCAATTCACCAACTACAATATATTTAACAACATTTACAATAATCCCAACTATTCTAACTGGCCAGCACCTCGAGAGCTTTCGATCTATTTATACACCAGAGATTCGATAAGTTCTTCGCTGCCCAGACACCACGTATAGCGAACTAGAGGGCAGAATTTACACAGTACCCAGCTAGTCTATTAAACTATCAATAAGCTAGTGGCTGGATTTACAACAGAGCACACTTAGTTAAGATAGGGTGAAATCTAGCAAACTATAATATACAACAGAGTATGCTAGTCTCCCGGTCCCCCCGACCTAGCGAACAAAATTTACACCCTAGATACGCTAGTCAAGACAGGACACCGGTGTCCGACATGAGCTATTTACACCAGAACTCAGTCTGACCCAAACCACCTATATTAGACGGGCTGACTACAGAGCGTCTAATTTCCAGATAAGTGTTGCGCTTTTCACTTCTTCCTTCTACTGAAGGGGCCAATACCAATAACCGGTTCCAAATATAAAACCCCTTGTGGGTCTACCGCTCTAACGGTATCAATCTTACCTGTCAATTTCTGGACCTGGGTTCACTCATAGACGGAACAATCCGGGACTCACTGCGCAGAAGCCGATGATCTCCTGGACAAAAGGCCAGTGGCGCCGAGACGAAAGGAGGTCCACGCAGTAGAAGTCCAGGATTGTAGCGTAGAAGGTTTGGTAAAAGTTTACCGTCTCAAATCTCTGTGCCAGCTTCCGTGCGATGAGGTTCCCGGCCCAATTGCACCAGAAATGTTGCAATGTAAGCATGCAGAAGCCAAACACAGAAATATTGGACACAGGTCTTCAGGAAGTAACAGGCCTTTATTCACATTACCGATCGGGTCTCAGATGAACTCCTGTTCCAACATTCTGAGAGACCAACACATAGTGTACATTCCTTATATAGCACTATAACTCCTCCCATTAATAGCTACACCCACATATACCTTTAACCAATCAATGAGCAGAATATAGACTTGTACATCTAGTCAAACCACATGGCTCATCCAAGACAAAGGAAATAAGTGCAATTTCAGTTCCTGCATTCCTGCACATGCTCAGTACACTGATGACAGTATCCTAGCTACATGTAGCTAACCAACTGACACAACATACACATATGCCACATGGAGATTTTGGCCTACTAAATTTTGACCATGCTGGAATCCCATCACAGTACAAGTTATTGATGATAATATAATAAAGTTGTGAACTTTATATTTCCAACAGAAATCGGTGTCTGTGTTTATTAAAGGTAATGGGGATGGTTTATGGCACAGGCCGAATAATGAATGTGCGCATGTCAAGAGGTGGGCTGCCCCTCAAGCAGCTCGGGGTGGTAATCAGGGTTCCGTGGACATCGGGGGACAACTTCAGACACGGCCATTCCAAAATATAATATGGCTGGGGATGGTGGGCAATGGCTTTTGGTTATGTTAAGCCTAATTATATATTTACTTATTTATTAAAGCCGTGCACACATTTATCCATAAATCAGTAATGTGGTGATTATTTGGGGAGGGGATTGTTGGGGGCTTTTAGATCTACCTGCCTTTATGGCGACAATGCACATGTGGGCAATGTGGCATGGATGTGGGTATAAACGTAAAGCAAGCAATCATATGTGTATTGTATTAAAATGTAGCAATGCGGTTTTATTAGCCATGAGAGAGTGTGTGTGACTACATTATCTTGACACCATTACAGGTTTACATTTGTACAAACATTCAGCACATACTGCGTCACAGGAAAATATTTACACAACAAAATATTTCTGCTACAACAACCACCAAATATTAGAGGAAACATTGTGTACCGATCTCATTAATTTCTACATGAAAACGGTCTTTATACAGATTTAGTGCTGCCTGAATAGGAAAACAGTGGGATTTTACTGATTTGGCAGTTTTTTTATTTTATTTATTTCCATAAACATTATAACTCCCATCACACCCAGTCAGCTAATATTCAATAATAATCACCCAGTACACATAATGACTCAAACATTCACATACAGGCATAACTTACATGATGGGAGTTGTAGTCGAGAGCAGCTGTCAGTAGCAGAGCTGACATTACAGTATACCTAGAGACAGCCACACGTTCGAGTGGAAGAGCATATACATTATATAAACACAGGATTTAAGGGACACAGCGTAGCTCAACACTTTAATATTAAACATGGCAGCAATCCGGGATTTACATTGTTAGGTATACAGAGAGTGATAAGGGATTGGAGGGATGGAACCGGGGCAGCGACCTGAGACAAGGAAACAAAGCAATGACAGCCCAGTGTGTCTGACATTTCAGATACAATAAACTCTAACTCTCATCACAATCAGACAACACAAGCTCACACACACACAGATTTGAATTAAAAAGCAATCTCTAACATGCAGGATACACGCTGTGACTATAGTTTAATTATAGAGATGTCTGTCTGTTACTGACATTAATGCAGCATTACTCAATACATTCACCGACAATCACACACAGTGACACACAGAGCAGCTGTTGCTTAGTAACAGGCTCCGCCCATACACAGGTCAAGTGGGAGGAGCTAACCCTGTTATGATGCTCCGCCCACACCGAGATCAGTATTACCGTCTCGTGATTCCCACTCTGGGATTAAATATCTTTAATTAGATTAATAAATCATTCAATACATTCTCAGCCAGGCGTTATCCCCATATACCCCGAATATAGCATGTATAGGCTCAGTGAAGGTGGCAGTGAAGGTGTGAACGTGTCTGATGGGGTCACACAGCTCATAAAAGGACAGCCGCCCGGCCTCGTAGTCCAGGAATATCCCGAATCTCCGGCTGGAAGGGGGGGGAGGTAACCGGATCTCTTTACTGTTATGTGTCACATAATACTTATTATTATACCTCCACAAACCCCAGGACTTGTTATTCCATCCAATCCGTGACTGACCTCCTTTCCTGTCTATACTGCGATAGGCCATCCCTACCCTCCATCCCCCTGATTCACTGCCCTCCACTTCCCAGTAATGTCGCCCTGAGGAGAAACTCCTGGAGCTTAAAACCTGATCAGACTGAAATCTCTCTGCTGTTTCTGGGCGACTCTGCTTTATACGTGACCAGGATACAGTTTTCATATCACCAGATACAGTTACATCATTAGCAGCCGTGTTTACATCCAATAACATGTCTGAAGCCGTGTTTACCCCCAATGACATGTCTGAAGCCGTGTTTACACCCAATGACATGTCTGAAGCCGTGTTTACCCCCAGTAATATATTAGCCGGTACATGGAGCTGTCTCTTTACTCCGGTCACAATCCCAGCTAATCTTGAGTGTAAGGTCACTGAGATCAGACCCACATCCAGATCCCCTACAGCATGGACCTTTTTATCATCTCTCTCTCTGTCCTCATTATCTCCCTCCTCAGTATCACAATAGTCAGCGCTGTGTGATTCCCGTCCTTGTAAGACAGTTAATGGATCCATCATGTTACACAGCTCCTCAATGTGACCCATCTTCCTGGACAGAACCTCCTTCTTTATTTCCAGCTGCCGGATTAGATCTGAGACTCGGAGTGACACCTGCTCTTCCTGCCTGGAGATCTCACTCAGACCAAAAGTACTGTGATTGTGGAGAATGAAACGACTGTATCTCCTACACACTGCTTACACTGTGACCGTATCTCCTATACACTGCTTACACTGTGACCGTATCTCCTAAACACTGCTTACACTGTGACGGTATCTCCTAAACACTGCTTACACTGTGACCGTATCTCCTATACACTGCTTACACTGTGACCGTATCTCCTAAACACTGCTTACACTGTGACGGTATCTCCTAAACACTGCTGACACTGTGAGCGTATCTCCTAAACACTGCTGACACTGTGACCGTATCTCCTAAACACTGCTCACACTGTGACCGTATCTCCTAAACACTGCTGACACTGTGAGCGTATCTCCTACACACTGCTTACACTGTGACCGTATCTCCTAAACACTGCTTACACTGTGACCGTATCTCCTAAACACTGCTTACACTGTGACCGTATCTCCTACACACTGCTTACACTGTGACCGTATCTCCTACACACTGCTTACACTGTGACCGTATCTCCTACACACTGCTTACACTGTGACCGTATCTCCTAAACACTGCTTACACTGTGACCGTATCTCCTATACATTGCTGACACTGTGACTTTATATGATGAATACATTTCTACATTATTTTTTAAATACATTTTGTTAATAGTGGTTTTTTACTTTCACTTGTAGTTTTTGCCTAATTCTCAAGTGATTATAACTAATACAGTTATTATGGAGTTTTTTATATCTCCTTATTAAAATATAATACTGTTCTGTGCACTGTTTAGTTTTCCAACGGATTACTTAAAGCAATATACACACTATTTTTAACAGTGTTTTAATTTTATACATAACAGGTAACCAGGTCCCATATGGTTATTTTGTATTTAGCAACTACTTTGTATTAAGCAGATCATTTGGTGTGTACCAAAAGATTCTGCCTATAGCAGATTTAAAGGTATACACACCATACATTTTGGCATAGTTACCATCCAGTATTTTAAATACTTTATCTTATCATACCAACGAAGTCACATATAAAGTGAATTTGCTCCTGAACACATCACCTTTGAAGGTATCCCTGTTAACTACAGTATGAGCAGTGATTAAACGATACGGTCACAGTGTCATCAGTGTATAGGCGATACGGTCACAGTGTGAGCAGTGTTTAGGAGATACGGTCACAGTGTGAGCAGTGCTTAGGAGATACGGTCACAGTGTAAGCAGTGTTTAGGAGATACGGTCACAGTGTCAGCAGTGTTTAGGAGATACGGTCACAGTGTGAGCAGTGTTTAGGAGAAACGGTCACAGGGTAAGCAGTGTTTAGGAGATACGGTCACAGTGTAAGCAGTGTTTATGGGATACGGTCACAGTGTAAGCAGTGTATAGGAGATACGGTCACAGTGTAAGCAGTGTGTAGGAGATACAGTCGTTTCATTCTCCACAATCACAGTACTTTTGGTTACCTTATAAGTATTACAGTGACTCACATTGGTTGAATTGGCACATGAATACACATGTGAGCAGTAACTCCACGTCAAGGCTTCAACCCTTGTTACTGACCATTCACACACACCATACTTTGCATTCATCCGCATTCGGTATTCCAGATGTTTTGCACTACACCTCCCATGATGGTTTGCCAACATTATGGGAGATGTAATTCACAGCATCTGGACTGCCCAAGGTTACCTACCTCTGAACTATGCCGTGATCACAGTACACAATGTTGAAGTTGCTGTGCAAACAGGAGCAGCTTGTCATGTGTCAGATGCCACTTCATTAGTTATAAATTCAATACTCCACCCTGGAGACGAACATCAAACATGGGCTTCTTCATTCCTCTTCATGTACTTCGTGTCCCATAGGAGAACATGCTTGTCAGAGCTGTGACACAAACAAAAAGAAATAAACTGGTTAGAGTAACTGGCATAACAGACACAGTGCATGCAGACTTGCGTGCCACATACATACAGCAGACAGACACAAAGATTGTGGGAGACACACCGGATTAAATATAAGAATTGGGAGTACCATACATACACAATGCACAAAGAGACGGAGATTACTGAATTCGGTGACCGACGGATTTGTTTGCAGATGTGGGGCAGTCCCTCTCGCTGGGGTGCAGTTTCTCATCCTTCTGGCGAGTGACTAGAGGGCTGCGGTTTCATAGCAAAAAGCATGCCATGGCATATGATATCTAGGAAATAAATATTTTTCTATGAACCTAGGGTTGTACACGTCTAACACACAGGCCACACGTACTGTACAGCTCCCCATCTAACGCACAGCCCCCAAATATAATACACTGCCCCCCCACATGTAACAAACAGCCCCTCCATCTAACACACAGGCCACCCCAATATACTTCACAGACCCCCACAATATACAGCGCAGACCCCCATATACAGCGCAGACCCCCCATATACTGCGCAGATCCCCCATATACAGCGCAGACCCCCATATACTGCGCAGATCCACCCCAATACACTGTGCAGCCCCCTATACAGTGTGCAGCC